CTGAAAAATTGTTCGTCACGCCCAACCACGGAAGGAAAACGCCTTGGATACAAGATTGGCGCTTAAACGAGTTGCGTGAAACGGAAAACTACCCGTTTTGAAGCCCGATGACGTTAAGCTAAAAGCGCGTCATGCGTTACTTATATACAAATATATTATTAATGATCTTTTGTTCTTCTACATAGTAATTATTTTTTTTATATCTAGTCAAACACCTCAATCAAGTGGGCATCCCGTTGGGATTATATTTTGGAATCCATACCGCATACAAGTATCCAATGGTTCAGGTTCGTATACCATTGCATGTTCACAACCTTGAAAATAATACTATCGTGGACATTGGACATGACTCACATGAGCTGCATGCAGTATTTTCATTTCAAATGCGTCTAGTGTTGTGGCAATGTGTGTCCATAAAAAATGGGGCTAATCACATTGTAGCAGAATTCAGGATTTCTATTTGATTGATGATTCTTTTGCAATATGCACCTAATTTTGCAATATTAAAAAAAATCTTAAAATTTCCAAGAAATAACAATTTAGTATTATATGTTGTAATACATGTATTCTTATTTCTAGCATTATGAATTCTCTGGTGATTGTTCTCTTCCTATCTGGCATGGTGGCAATGATTATGCTGAGAACCTTGCACAAAGATATTGCTCGATATAACCAACTGGACACCTCCGTAAGTGCACATATAGATTTGGGTAAATTTGTGTACATGTTTCTCACATAAGATTGTACTTTCATTCAAAATTGCGAAACCCTATATTTTTTGCTCACATCTGTTACTAATTCACCCATTCACAATCTCCTTCCAAGTTGTATTAAAGGTACTGTAACAGTTATATAATATAATTAAATTTAATTATAAAACAAGATGCATGGGCAATAGCAGGAGGCTATCTTTAAAACGGGGAATCCGGGAATCCTAGTGGCGACTTCCGATACGCTGGCCCAGGGGCGTAGCGACTGGGGTGTGGGGGGAGGGGGTTAATCCCCCCAACTGTGAAACTCAAGTAAAAATCAGGTAAAATTCAAGTTGAAATCAGTTTGAGATTTCAGGTAAAATTTGCGTAATAAAGTCGTTATTTTCGTGAAATGATAACCATTTTTGTATCTGCGCAGCAGATATACCATGCTATCGAGTTTGCTTTATCTGTTAGCTGTTAGCTTGCAGCCAATCAGTGTCTAGTATTTTAGCTTGTGATCGTCCCTAGCCAATCAGCGCACTATGCGGAAATGACTATTCAGTGTAGAACATATAGATCAGTGAGAAAACCGTAGAATCGCAGCAGCCTGTTCGCAGGCTAAATCAACATGGCGGTACGTTTCGAGGTTTCGAGCTAATTTCGAGGAGTACTTTATATATTTTTACTCTTGTCGACTTGAACTGTGTTTGAAGTGTTTTTGTTTTTAGGTAAGAATTAACGAATCATAATCAACAATTTTTAATGTACTAATGTGTAAACAATATTCAATGAAGGCTACTAGTATTTAATAAACATGAATGCAATTTCTACGATGTATAAAATAGGAGCTATATTTCCAGCAAAAGTTTTTTAATATGTATGGTATTGCTACTATTATACGACCAAAAAGTTTGAATGTGCATGATTGACCTGTTTGCTGCAGTAATTTATGTTCCTTGAATAGTTTATGTATATTACTCAAGTCTCAACAGTTGACGTTGGCAAATCCAAATGTAATCCATGCATTATAAATATAAACAATTGACAGAAAATTAGTTTCATGTGATTTTATATACAATAAAGTTTGAAAAACTGTCAAAATTCTATGAGTATGGATCATTGACATATATATGATTTCAATGTAAATGTTAACTTCTATATATATTGTTTGTTGTTTAAATTTGGATGCTATATATATGTCAATGGTATGGATTGTAACAACACCTGCTATCCTGACCCTATGGCATCTAAAATGTTTTGCATATCTCGATTATATGGCGATGATAAAGAAGATTGTCAAGTTATCAGTGTGACATCCCAGTTTATGTATCAACATTATGATGTCACAACTCAGTTGACCTATTAAGGAAACCTTTGTTACTGTTATGGTAATAATCTGAAATACTACTGCAAGTGGAATTTATAGCAGCTATTTCATTCAATATGAAAACTAGACCTGAAAACTTTGTTCTACTGTATATAATATATGCTAGTGATATTAATTTTAAAAGTATTGTATTGTATTTTGTGCAAGTGTAGTATTGTTTGAATGGAATTTGTATTTCGTGACTGCATGATTATTTGTTATGATCATAATCACATTGTAAAATTAGTATTTTAAATTATCTTTCCCCTGTTTACAGCCCTGGTAGATGTGTACTATGCTTGATCTTAATACCTAATTTGCTATTATATAATAAGTGATGAAATATATATTTCAATTGTTCATTGGTGTCACACATCTGTCTAAACTACAACAGCTACAAAATACAGCAGCACGTCTTATCTGTTCTATCCCTAAACATGATCACATCACTCTGACTCTCATCAAATTACACTGGCTTTCTGTTCGATTAAGGATCAAGTTCAAAATTGCCATGCTTGCTTTTATATGTATCCATCAGTATGCACCTCTCTATCTTGTCAATCTTTTAAAAGTAAGAAATACATCCTGGTATAGTCTCTAAGATCTAACGAAGGCACATTGCTTGAAGATTATAGTGCAAAAACAAAGAAAACACTCCGCGACAGAGCATTCGTAACCTCCACTCCAAAAATCTGGAATGAATTACCTATGTTTATAAGAAATCTGCATAACTTTAGTATTATTATTTTCAAGAAGCCTTTAATGTAAATACTTCATGTAACATATAATCTATATAACCTTGTTTATGTTTTTTAGAATAATTTTAGTGTAATTATGTTGTGATGCGCATTTGATCATATGCTATAACATGTTAATTTGCGCAATATAAATATTAAATATTATTCATTTCCTTCCAAGAAAATACTAAATCTGACTCCTGTTTTGCGCAGATACATGTACGCGTAGCGTACCTATTTTTGTAAAATACAGTGAATTGAGATCCAAATCGTTTGCGAATTTGTTTTAGAAAACGCCAGAAAAGCAGTCCTGTAGCTTGAAAAATGTAAAAATTTTCAGGGGGAGGACCCCCAGACCCCCTTCTTCGGAAACTTAGTATGACAGTGGAAATCAATGGAAAAAATTATCTATTATAATTAATGCATTTCAGGTAAATTCTTAGCATTGTCATTGAAGTTCAAATTTCAGGTAAAATCCTCCAACACCCCCCAACTTCAGATGCTTCGCTACGTGCCTGCGCTTGCCCTCGTGCTTTTTGCGACCACAGCGCATGAACATAACCTGTTGTTGGTATCGGTATTCGAAGTCGAACTTAAACTCTCTATTTTCCCGTACAACTCGAACGGTCGAAGTCATGAAAAACATAATCAGGCGAGAGCAAAATACAAACTCCGCAACATTTACAAATAAAGTTTTATTAAAGTATAGTTTCAGACTTTCAGTTGTACAAATTTATCTCTGGTCTTCAGTCTTGGTTAGTAAAACTACACTTGGAGGCAGACCATGATTTATTCGCCTTCGCTTTATTAGCGATGGCATTTTAAAGCTTCCATACACTCCAGACATTATGAATGTCAGCAGGAAAAAGCGACTGGCAAACGTGTTACCGCTATTATATTTGACAATCGCAATCACAATCAAAGCAATGAAATATTATATTATATGTAAGTGCCAACAAAAAATGGCGACGATGCATACCGAAACTCTTTAATTTAGCGCAATCATGGCTATTACACATTCGCTTTAGTTTATATCCTGCGTTGAAGTTTACATTAAATGCCCGTTTAAAAGTATTAAACTGGGTTTTTTTCACGACTTCGTGTCCTGCAATTCTGGTGTGACGTCAAACTTTCGATTAAGCTTCATTTTCTTTTATTGCATAAATTGTAAATTGAATAAATTAAATTAAATCCAATAAAATTTTTATCCGATTCCCGGATTCCCCGTTCCCTGTTCCCCGTTCCCCGTTCCCTGCCATAGCAGGAAGCGGTTAAAATTTATCGGTCAAAAATATAATCCCAAACATTAAGAATTTACGGGGAATAATAAAAGGTCTCTGTAGATATTCTCAACTTTCTTTCATGAATTTGGTCAAACATAATTTTTTTTGCCACTTGCCTTTAGAAACGCATCATTTGCAGTCCTTGAAACTCAGGTCCGCATTCGGCAGTGCCGATCTAATTGCAATTAACAGAAATTTTTACATGAACGCACTTTTCATATACACGTTTTGTAGGACAACTATATACTACAATTTTCAGTTGAGCGTGAATGTGGTATATAGTTGTGTCGCATTATGTTTCGACGACAGTATTTTGGGGGTTTTGTTCGCCAGTGATAGATATATAAAATCAATTTTTGACTTTCATGTTGTCTATTTTTTCGAAAATGTTTGGCGACGTAGCTAGATTAAGAACGATCGTTTTCAGGTCGGCAATTGCTGGCCGACTTGAAATTTCAGGAGTTTCAAGGGCTGCATTTGTTATTATTGTTTTCCAACATCTCAGGACGATGCGCAAGAAGAGTTTGGTTGGAAACTTGTTCATGGTGATGTTTTCCGTCCTCCTGGCAAAGGCATGCTACTTTCTGTCATGTTGGGTACTGGTACTCAGGTTGTCACTATGACTTCAATAACACTTGGTAAGATAGGTTTAAACCTTCAATGCCTAGAAAGCACAATTTCTTGTGCTAACATTAACGAGACTGATTGCATATCTAATATGTCTCAGCCAAGAACTCATAATATATATAGGATATTAGACGGTTGCGAAGAGATATGGATTTTATGTTCGAGTGGCAAAAACAATATCTCACGAGTGAGCGCAGCGAACGAGTGAGATATTGTTTTTGACACGAGAACATAAATCCATATCTTCTCGCAACCGTTTAATGTTCTGTTTATTATATGGACTTACTCAGAGTGACAAAAATACACACAAAGACGACATGTAAATAAGCACGCGAAAGACCAGTATAAAAGCGATATTTTTTAAAATTATACGGCAAACATAAAACTATAGAATAAATTTTACTTATCTCAACATGTCTTTTAAACGTTTTCATTTTATTTCCAATGTTAATTTCGTTTTAAATGCGAACCATAGACCATTTGTATTTTTAAAACAACAACAGTGAAAATGGCGGGAAATTTTCATAACTTCGTATGTCACTAGCAGGGGTGAAATACGGAAAATACGCGCACCTGGCCCCGGATGTAGTGACGTATGAGTTCTACGAGTGGTTTAGTTTCCAGTAAAGCACCATTGTCCATATAATAAATAATAATACGTTTCATCGTTTCTAACTTTCTTCCTTGATTATTACATAGTGTTTGCTTGTCTTGGATTCCTGTCACCAGCAAATCGTGGAGCACTGATGACTACTGTTTTGGTAAGCCTTCTTAAAACAGCTGTATATTAAGAACTCGCCTAAATAGTTATATTACATGTAGATGTTGTTACTCCGAGTATAGATCAACACCAGCAAGCTGACTGAGATTGGTTGACCGCGTTGAGAACCTAGCCCGCGGTCCTTCGGTTTCTGGTTCAATCCCCTACCACTCGGAACATACAGTATATTGCCTCTGTATTCAATGAGGCAGCTATATACGGAATGAGAGATACAACTACCTTAAAATATACGCAGAACTTCCGATCGACATTTCGGACAAAGACCCTTCGTCGGGAAATTAGTAATCAATCCATATTTTCCATATATCTGTATTCAATCCATATTTGTAATATGTGTGGCACAATAGTTGGGTTTTGGTGGCGCTATCATCAGAGTAAGCGCCTTTCATCTCTGAGATCCTGGCTTCGATTTTCCCTACGGACTCGTGTGAAAAGTGTCTGTCATCGTTCTGCTGAAAGTCGTTGGTCTGCTCCTGGCTCTCCGGTTTCCTCCCACAGGGAAAGTTGAGAGGATGGGATAGAATAACATAGTTACTGTAGGACAGTAATATCACTGAAAAGTGTAAAGCCTGGATGCATGGGTCATGGGGAGTAAGCCGAATAACGATAATGTATATATATATATATATATATATATATATATATATATATATATATATATATATATATATATATATATATATATATATATATATATATATATATATATATATATATATATATATATATATATATATATATAGGACCTTATAGATAAACTATGTGATGACGTGTTTAACCCAATGTAGGTATTGTTTGTCTGCCTTGGTGGATTTGCCGGATATGTTGCGGCCCGAATCTACAAATGTAAGTTTATATACGGTCGAAGCTGTATTAATCAGCCATGCTTATAAGGAATTGTTTTTAGTCAATTCAATATCATGTAGTACATATTCATGTTCTGTTTGTTTGCTCTGTAGTATTTGGTGGTGAACGATGGAAAACCAATGTCCTAATGACTTGCTTTTTGTTTCCTGGGTATGTAATAGTGCAATTATAGTAATTTATAATTTTCTCGCGCGAATCGACAATATTCTCTAATTAGAGATGAGCTGATTAATCCGAAATTTGAAAGAATCGGTAATCGGCGGACAATGATGCTATTTGTTTGGTTTCCTTTGAAAGCTCAGTTCCTTACCAATATGCTACTGAAGGACACTTTAACTTTTTTAAAAAAGATTATTATTATAACCGTATGTTATTGGACTCTTAGTGGAACATACGTGTTAGGGTTTCCATGAAATTTTCAAGTTGCAAATCGTCAACCTAACAAATTTCCTACATGATTTTATACAACTCTTTTTCAATTGTTTAAGGAGGAAAAAATGCGAATAAACGAATTAATCTAACGCACAGTCGTCTATTGATGACTGGCAACAACGGTAATCGGTAGATGCCAATTAATCCGCCGATTATTCGGTATAATTAGTCTTCAAATAATCGACTTCGGTGATCAGCAATTTTTACGATTGTCTCGTACATGTATCCATCCTTAATTCAAATAAATATATAACGGATTAAAGTCCTAAAACCTTTGGTAGGTCATTCTTAGATTAGGATTGGGGCTAGAATTAGGATATTGGTTAAAATGGGGGAAAGAAATGGGATAAAGATTGTAAGGACAAGATATTGTTGAAGGATAATAAAATTGTTCTACTGATTCAAAGAAGTGTAACATGTTCCTGCATGGCTGCCATTTGATGTAATCTACCGTATATATAGTCATCTTACTCTCACTATCTTCTCAATAGAATCATCTTCGCAATTTTCTTTGTGTTAAACTTGGTATTGTGGGCCGAACAGTCTTCTGCTGCCATTCCATTTGGAACATTAGTCGCTTTACTTGCCTTGTGGTTTGGAATATCTGTCCCGCTCGTATTTGTTGGAGCGTATTTTGGTTTCCGAAAGCCAGTAAGTTATGAACTGTTGCAGTATATATAGGGTGATTATCGAAATTTAGGGTCATTTCGTTCGGTACAACTAATAGATGGGCTTTTTGTAGGTGGAATATTCGATCATAAATTCACTGTATATACATTTTTAGTCCTATACAGGTATACTGTAACCAGGATCAGTTTGGAAAAATGCAACACTAGTTTGAATCTGGAAGGAATCGAACCTGCGGCCCTGCGATTGTGGTGCAGTGCTCTAACCAACTGAGCTACAGAATCCAGTTGACGAGCATTATAAACCACAATTTGCATGCGAATATTCCATGCATCTACAAAAAAAAAACCATCTCCTATGGACCTTTCCCCTTATAACTAAAATTTTGATCTAGACAAAAATTTCATCACATGCAGCTTGAAAGAGCATCACAAAATTAGTAATATTCCAAAGTTTCGTTGCGAAATGTTGTAAAATGAGGATAATATAGCCTTGCGAAATTTGCCGTTTTTCAGTCATTTTGTATTACGCATGGGAAATTGACAGCTCAATCGGGTGTTGGGACATCAATTCCCCGTTTGTAATACAAAATGACTGAAAATTGCAAATTTCGCAGGGCTATATTATCCGCATTTTACAACATTTCGCAACGAAACTTCGGAATATTACTAATTTTGTGATGCTCTTTCAAGCTGTGATGAAATGTTTGTCTAGACTTGTCTAGATCAAAATTTTAGTTATAAGGGGAAAGGTCCATTGGTTTCAAGATGTTACACATGGTGATATAAACTTAATATGTAATTGGCACCAGCCTTGGGTGGGACCGGATTCCTTTCTTTAGCCACAAGACAGTGCTATCGACACTTACAATATATGTGAGCAAGTACTTTAAATAATGACAAATATTTTCATATTTTCTTATGAACGACCTAATTACTTTGACAATTGCCATTACCTTTAGCCACCATGTATTTAGCCTGTGGAACGCAGTCTACCATCTCACTAAGTGACACGCACTTATATCTACAAACATGCAATGCTAAAATATTCCTACATGTAAAAGTACTCAATGGTTATTTTTTCCAGGTGATTGAATTACCAGTACGTACAAACCAAATCCCTCGTCAGATTCCAGAACAGGTAGAGTATTCTACTACATACACTAATAAATTGTAATGGTGTCCTTGGAATTTTTCCCTAAGGACGCTATGGAATCATAACAGCAAAACTACATTACTGTACATAATACATATCTGACTGCGCCTCTCTATACAATACATATCTGAACGCGCCTTTCTACAGGGGCGTCTATGGGCTCGTAAAAGCCCCAACATGATGGACTGCCGTCTAATTTTTTACCTCGTATCAAAGTTTTCCCTTTCACACTCGTGTTATAGCACATTCATGTTATATGTATACTTAGATCGTGTACGTCAGCAATTACTTTGTGTACTTCAGTCGATCTATTCTCGTTTTTCAAGACATCAAATACATGTGTGTTAAATGTATTTTAACATCTTATTCTATGTTGCTAGAGTTTCTACAGTCGCGCAGTTCCCGGAATAACCATGGGAGGTGTTTTGCCATTTGGTTGTATTTTCATTCAGCTTTTCTTTGTCCTCAATAGCATCTGGTGAGCCCAAATCATCGTAATTGAATATTTTTCCGAGGTTCCTTCTCGCATATACATGTAACTTCGTTGTAAATTCTATTATTGAATGCATAGCAAGAAATAATATTTTTGTTTCTGGGATCCTAAGTTTTGGAGTCAAAGTTTTCTGCCAAGCTCACTAATATTCTTCCTAATTATTTATTTTATGTGCCTGTGTTAGCATTATGCAATGTCCTAAAACATTTTGCCAACTAAAGGCGGATTTCCAGTCCTTGCACGAAGTTCCTCGCTGCGAGTGCATGCATGAGCACTTTCATCCAATCACAATGCTAAACAGTTAATTTTAATTAGATGCAAGCACTCGCAGCGAGTTGCGAGGAGCTTCGTGCGAGGACTGGAAATCCGCCTTAAGCCAGGTCTGAAAATTTCCTGGAACCCTAGGGCGCTTTTCATTTAATGGCCTGACCGGTCAGACCCGAATTTTTGTATCTGTATTAGATCTGGTCTATGTTTCTCGAACATCTAGCGAAAATGGACCTCATTCTAATTTTATCTAAGTTTTCCGGTCAGGTAGGTCCGAGGCCCAAACGTTTTGTGTCCCATTCAACAATTTGACCGTTCTGACCGGTTTGGCCGTGTTAATGAAAAGTGCCCCTAGATGCCAGGATCCACTATTATTTCCTGCTACCCATAGTATAACTATTGTATTGTCTGTATGAGGATGTTTGCTCATTTGAGGACTAAGGAGTTGTTATTAGATAGTAGTTAAGGGAATCCAGATAGTTGTAAAAACAAGGGATGGGTTTTGTACTTTCATTAAAGTGTTACAGGAGAGCCTGCAGATAGGGCACTTTCTCTTTTTCGGAAAGAACCCTCAATACGAATGTGCTCTATACACAGTAATATAACATAATTTTTCATTTTGTTCTAAAGGTCGCATCAAATCTATTACATGTTTGGTTTTCTTTTGCTTGTCTCCGCAATATTGATGATAACAGTTTCAGAAACTTGTATTCTACTTTGCTACTTCCATCTGTGTGCCGAGGTAAGAAGTAGAACTGTTGAATTCTAACTTTGTGTACATTTAAGTATCACAGGCTAGACTACTCGTCCTATTGTGAATTTCTATTGAAATGAAATTCTCCTACGATGGACCTCATTTTTTTGAAAAAAGTGGTGTTTAAAGTGCTGCTGCAACGAATTTCTCGACCTATACTTTTTACTTTAATTAAATTTGACCATCATACGATGTCTAGAAGTTGCCACATTTTGCCTCTCAAATTGGTTATCGCATGCGATATGTTGATGCCGTGTGACGTCATAAGTTGAACGGATATGGAGACTGCAGGGGCGTTTGTAGAGAATTATACAGCGCTTCGATCAATAATATATCGCTGTGGAATTTTGCCAGATTTACTTATTTTCCCCAGAAAATCACAAGTTCTGTACCTTGTTTGACGACGGTTCAACTCATGTTTAACTGTATGACATCAAGGGCATCATGGCGGAGCAAAATTTGGCGGAACAAAACTTCGCATAGAAAGTGCAAAAAATGAGTTCGAATAGGCCAATTTTAATTCTGTTTGTGACAAGCAGGTAACGATGGAATCTACTTATTTAAGCTAAAAAAGCAAGTCAAAAATATTGTTGCAGTATAGCACTTTAAAGTAAGCTTAAATAAAAAAACATATTTCTAACCTTGTGTTGTCTTCGTAGGACTATCATTGGTGGTGGAGGTCTTACCTTACCGGTGCATGTACAGCAATATATCTCTTCATGTATTCAATCTATTATTTCCATAAACTGACTATAGTTGGAACTACCAGCTCAGTCTTATACTTCGGGTATACTTCCATTATGGTTATACTCTTCTTCCTCTATACAGGTATGGAAATATATTGCAATTGATGACGTCTTGCGTAAAATGACAAAATTTGTTTATACCCCATTCACAACTTCATGTAGCTCACGTTCTTGCATACCAATGCAATTCACAGTAGCGTAGCATAGTTGCATGTATATATTATACAGTAGCGTAGTATAGCTCTATGTTATATGTATATAACTCTGTGTATTAACATTACCTGCTGCGTGTTCATACCCAAACAGTCGGGTTATTTTGTATGAAATACCCCCTATTCGTAAGAACTCGTCTTGGCGCAAATACCAGTTGTATTGTTTTGCAACTATGGCATAGCCGGGGGTTTTGAAAACCGAGTCGTTGATGGTGTTCATTTTCATAGTTTTTGATTCGTGAATTTATGAGTTGGAGATGGATTTTATAAACAGTGGTGGACACTAGAGGGCAACCGCCCACCCACCCCGAATAACTTGTGAAAGCGTTTGAGTTATAGATGAACAACTGTAACAAAAATGTAACAATCATTTTTCAACCATGAAAGAATTGGTAGGCTACAAATTTTAATTCGTACGCAAATCACATGTTTTCCTACCAAGCTGAACAATAATTACGTACAAAACAGCGATTTGACAAGTTCGATGTTATGTCTTGCTGAATGTTAAGGACGAATTTTATCACCTAATAATGACGTCAATTGTCGTTTGTCGCATATTTTCCAAATATCAAGGTGGATGTAAATCAGCCTGACAATACTTGAATGTTTGAATAAATTTCTTATTTTATTTGGCAGGAACTATCGGATTCTTCGCTTGCTTTTTCTTCGTCCGCAAGATCTATGGTGCTGTCAAGGTCGATTAACAAGGACATGTTTGTATCAATACTTTACTGGAAACAAGTATTTCACTTAGGTTATAGTTTGGCTAATGTAATAAAGTGTCTGGGAAATTTTCATGTTTATACACGTACTCATTCAATAACTGTATTATTTTCCTCTAATCAAGAAGAATGTTTCGTGTGCATGTGAAAATTTCAATTTTTTAATAGGTCAACGCAAAAGTTTTGACATACGTAACACATGGTGATCAATTCTAAAGGAAAAGGCAGTCATTGGGAGTGGCTAAATTGTCCACTAAGCCAAGTATAAATTAAACAACTGTTTTGCGTTTCCGCCCGCTTCCTTTTATTAGCCGCTTCGGTTTTTTCTTTTCTTTCGAGAAACATTTATTTTTTACTTGGCTCTGTCTACATTGACCTTTTTGTTTCTTGGCATCAAATCCTAACCAGATCTGGAGAAAGTGTATAATGTTCCTCGGATCTTGAATTTGCCTTTTTCAAATTTTTCGCAAAGTGCGTAAAATCAATAGAAAATTTGACCGTACATTACGCCATTTGTATGCAACAACAAAGTATTCTTGATTGTCTTTATGTTATACATGTCTCAAATGACAGATAAGGAAGTATGATTTAACGATTCCTTGCAGTTCTTCCGTAACGTATGTGTGAAAAAATGAAAGTGTTCCTCACTCTTCTTGCTAAGGCAAATGTTGCTCTGGATCCAGGATTCCACTTCTTTCAAGGTCTGGGGCCGGTTGTTCAAAAGCCGATTAGCTTAACTCTAAGTTAACCTAAATATCAAAGCAAATTTACCATAAGCGTGTTTATAAATTTGGAAATATTTCTTTAGAATCAATAGGAATTTCTTCCCAGAAGTTTCGAAATCAACACAGAAATACACAAACTAAAACAGTGGGTGAAATTTTTACCAAGGGTTGGCGCTAAATTAATTCAGGTTTGAACAACCAACCCCCCGGTCTTAACTCCCATAAGTGGCAATACCAACCTCGCAAGCAAGGGTCTTTACTTCCGTTCGCTACGGCGCTGAAGACCCTGGCTTGCGAGGTTGTGACAATACATTCGAAGTTGAGCACTATGTGTTGCACCCCACCTGTAACCAAAAAATGTTATGCATTTTCAGACACTGTATTATAATGACGAGGGTTAAGCAAATCATACAAGAGATTGGGGCCTGAGTATACATTAAAGCCTCGTTTACACATTACGACTACATAGGTGAATACATAATTCTTATGCTTGTGCATGTCATCGAGTAAAGATATGTTGCTTCAGCAATCGTATACGATATCGGTTCGTGTAAATGAACCTCGATGATATGTTGGCTTATGCATATGCATATACTAAAGGATATTTTATGTACTTCAGAAAGCGTTCTGTGTGAAGCGCTGATCTCAAACCTAGAACTGGATAGAGCAACCTTTTGAATTCAGGGAATTCATTCTGAAGCCAGGATATTTGTAACGAGGAGAGATTTTTAAATCTGTCACATTCCTCACGAATCAGATATAGCTTCCCACACCTCTTTGATGAGTTTTAGAACGTTTTGAATACGAGATAATGAGAGTTGAGGCGGACATATTGTTATGACCTCACTAGGCAATATTTTTTATTCCTATCGATCATTAGAAACTTTAAGAACTTCTAACATGTCCGTAACACCGCTGTGGATTTGCGCTGGTCACACAATGCATAAACGAAGCCACTGCCGACCATATTAACACATGCTCTATCCAGATTTTGATTTCTAGTTTTAAGATCAGTGAGGCGAACAGAGAAAATGCGCCGGTGCGCGAAAGTATATGAGAAAAGTCCGAGGAGAGAGTTTAATATTCATGTTAGTGAGTCTATACACTACGAAACAGTACTCTAGCTGACAAGTTTCTTTGTGATACGTATTTATTATTACTTCAATAATCAACAAATTTGTGTAGTCAAACTTTAGTAAAACGTTGTTTTAATTTGTGATCTTTTCAGATCTGTTCTTTCGTAGAAGTTATAAGGAATGATCTCTTGTAATATAATTTTCGTTGTCTGCATGTATGTCTTTTACTATATACTGTAGTGCCGAGATATACATGTATTAACAACGGCTTATTGACCGAGCGTGAGGTCTGTACTGTGAAATATCAGACCGAGGTTTTTTAGTAAAAATTTCCCGCCAGATAAACGACATCCGGGACACCGGTCCAGATACGGAAAATACGGACCACGGTCCGGATATAGGTTTTTACGGACCGCTTGTCAACCAATCAGAATAGATTTTGAAAAGCCATATAATAAGTATAGGTTATTTACCGGCTGGGAGGTCTGCACGTGTACTGAAAAAAAAAAACAAAAAAAAAACGTGAAGAAAATAAAAAGCCTTGAGTAAAATTCAATGCTTTTCTACTCAACAAGACAATCGCAGAAGGTAAACTATAAAATGATTTATTTTCCATATCGGCTTACAGTATGAATATGCTTGAAAAATACAAATTTCAGTTGCCGAAAACATTCTGTTCATTACAACATTGATAAAAAATATTTGACCGAACTACGCCGGCCAGGATTAGAATCGAGTATCAATCGGAATCGATTACTACAACTGAATACTGTGTTTATCCATGGTCTGTCAAGATATGGACTATGGTGGTGTGGAAACCGGCAAAATTCAAAACCACAAATTAAATAGAACACCTTAATTTGATGTTGCATGAGCTGTGCACAAATCGTGGTTGCACGTTTCATCTCATCGTCGCTTTGGACGAATACTTAATTATACGAACTTGTAATGAGCTCAATCACCGTGATCTTGCGCAAATCAACATAAACTCAGAAAAAAATATAACGCAATGACTTCTGTTCACTTTCCAGACCATCATATCTTGATAGACTATAGAATTATCATTGGGAAATACATGCAAAGGCATTTCCTGTTCTGTCTTCATGTCATCCATCGCTGCAGCGTTGGTCTCCGGTAAGAACAATTCGTACGTCCCCTGGAAATCCTGGAAAACGCTGGATTTTTTATTAGTCCTGAAAAACCCTGGAATTTCAAATTTATCCCTGGAAAACGGATAAACTGAGCTGCGTACTATAGGTTCATACCTATAGCCATCATCCCGCATAGACATAGTTTTGATCAAATTGAGTTACGAATTTGATGAATTTTCCTCGGAATTTTGGAAAAATTAACTCGTTTTAAAGTGATGAGAGAAGAAAAAAACACAATGTAGAAGAAGTATTACAGTTATTTCTTACCATCGTGAGTTAGTTTTTTTAATGAATTTCCATGTTTATATACGAGTGTTTCGTCATTAAGTTTGTGTATACAGTTTTAAATTTGTGATTTAGTTGTCAACCTTGGGGATACGTACATTACATAATGACGCAACGCTATTGTGATGTTACACGTACTTCATGTAATACAAATTATAGAGGTTTTACTGTACATTGAAGCATTGCATGTCAAAGCATTGCATTTTAAAGCAAATTGTATGGATCTTTTTAAATAAAAGACCTTTTCGGGAGACCTATGGTTTTGGTGGAAATGTTGATGTTCTTCATAGTGGGATACAAAAGGTGTGTTAGGCGTTAGCGACTGAATAAGGAAAATATTGCGTGTGAAACAGGGTCAGTATAGAGCCGGCAGGAGCCGCGAAGAGTGCTGTTGTCGAAGAAAAATGTCGCAATTGTAATCTTGTCCATTCACCTCTGTGTTAGTCTCCCTCGCAGACGTTTTTATAGCTCTAACCCTCGCTAACTAACGTCTGCTGAAATGAGCTGCACATTCCATTCCCTCCGATCTACCAATCACAGCGAACCTTCTATATTTCGGAAAGTGATTTACGGGCGGAATAAATAGTACATAAGTATTTTTATATTTTGAAAGCAGTCGTCGGTTGAATTTTGGTCAAAATTGCACATAAATTGGATTTAAAGACATTGATACTTGTCCAGGAAATAAAATGCGCCATTAACAGATTCGGATATTAAAGATGTTCGGTTATATTTAAAACGCGGACAGGATGGCATACTCGAGGAAGCCCCGTTTACACTACACTCATTTTTGGCACGGCACTCTTAAATAATGGCACGCGGACCAAATTTTTAGGCACGGCACTCTTAATTTTCGCAGTGTAAACGCAAAATTAAGGGTCCGCGTGCCATAATTGTTTGACGGGCCGAGACCTCTTCAAGGAGGTAGTCTCGGCCCGCTTAAAATATAGCACGCGGCCCTAAAACTAATTACGCATGCGTATTCCTTGAAAAAGAAAACAAGATGGCGTCAATAACAAACCCTACTTACACTTAAGCCCCGTTTACACTACGCTCAATTTTTGGTACGGCACGGATAAAATTGGTACCCGTACCACTTTTTTGGTTCTTGGACTACCTATTTAGGTAGTCCAAGAACCAAAAAGTGGTACGGTACCAAAAATTTAGCGTAGTGTAAACGGGGCTTAGCTAAATAGGTAGTCCAAGAACCAAAAAAGTGGTACGGGTACCAATTTTATCCGTGCCGTACCAAAGATTGAGCGTAGTGTAAACGGGGCTTTAATTGTGTTCTATATATATCGGATATAGAGTGCTGATAATTAGATAAAAGTCAGCCCTGAGTTTATCCAATTCAAGGCACTCTATATCCCATATTCATGGACCACAAGTGAGGGTAACTAAAACCCAGAGGTTTGAGTGTATAATCATTCGGAATATGTTATATTGTATGGTCATCAAACTTAGCTTTGAAATATACTGCATACACTACTTCTGTCCCTAAAAGTAAAACTGTACTTATGTCTAACTGGTGAAATATTCAGCTAAAGCATCACGGATTAGCTCTACGTCTGGTGCTGGCGTTTCATCAATTGGAAGTATTGGTTCCTCGATAAGTACTTCAGCGTCAGCCCAATCAGGAAAAAAAATCATTTTTAAGAGCTTCGCATATGTTATGTTATGTTATGTTACACGCAGGAGGCCAGTACAACATGTGCCAGAGTACTTACATCCATGTCCACCCGCTTTCTGAATCTGATGTATCTTCCTTTACACCTACCAAAGGTGTTTTCTACCGTCATTTGTGCACGACTAAGACGATAGTTAAAAATACGTTGACTTCTTGTTGCCTCGTTCCTAGGGTAGCCCTTTAACACCCGTGATAACAGCGAGTAGGCTGGGTCCGCAAGAATTACCTGTGGCATCTCCACCCCACATATTTCCCTATTGAGGTCATCTGGGAAAAGCCAGTTATCCCTTCCTTTTGCAAAAATGGCTGAGTTGGAGAAAACCCGCGCATCATGTACGCTTCCTGGCCAACCGATAACTATATATACGTCCCTGAATGTATAATTACAATCTACCACAGCCTGCATAAGGACGCTATAAAACCCCTTACGGTTGACATAATCTGTGTGGTTTTTGTTAGGTGCCAGTATCGGTATGTGAGTTCCATCTACTGCGCCCGCACACATGGGAAAGCTCCATGTCTCTTCATAACCTCGAATGACTCGCAAAAGGTCATCACCCTTAGGGAAGCTGATAGCATTTGATGATTTGGAAACTGCTTTGCTAGCTATTGCATGACATACTTATTTAATGCACTGGCACACAAACGACCGTGAAACTCCGAATAAGTTGCCAATTGTGCGGTATTCAGCCGTGGATGCTAGATAATAGATAGCTTAAGATCTACGACGTCGACGTCAGCTAGGACGTCAGGGCTAAGCAGAGGACTGGGAATAGGACGTCGTCCTAAATAAGTAGATAGGGACCTTAAACATGTACAACGGCAACGCGACGACGACAGCCAAAACAAACATCTTCAAATAAATTATTGCGAAGAAGAGTTGTTGTGTATTATCCATTCAGCATGTGTATATGAATTGAGTTCAGTTTGATGAGACTAAAACAAAGGTTTTATGGTTAAACACACTTCTGCGAACAAATTTGTAATTTCACTTGTCGCGTCTTGATATGTTTGCGTTGGAAACGAGACGTGAAAATCTCTGATTTGCCGTTGCAAAAAGCCCTAACACAACGTCTCTAACTCCCGTGGGCTTTTAATTATTCATTTCTTTTGTACGCGATGAAGAATAGCATTGTGTGAATAGCCGTCGTCGTCGCGTTGCTGTCTTGTTTGCTTAAGGTCGCTATTAGCTCAAGTATCTACGACGTCAAATATTTAGGGCGGCAAGCGGAAGTAAATTGGTAATAGTTTTCGAAGTGTGCATGTGTCTCTTTCAATTTGCTCGACGTCCACCAAACGTCCTCACAAGAAGAGCTTTACCGTCTTGGATACAAGAGCATAACAAACGGTAATGGATTCACACAATCACACATCACATATTTATAGTTTAAATGTCTACGTCATGAATCTTAAGTGGAAGTTTACTCCCTGCAGTCCTCTGCTTAGCCCTGACGTCCTAGCTGACGTCGACGTCGTAGATCTTAAGCTATCTAATACAATGTAACTGTCAGCCGTCGCTTCGCTGAAACTGCTTCTCGAAGATGTGTATTTTCATGAGCTATTTCGGGCTGAACCTTTCTGAGAATAAATGTAAACGTTTCTTTCGTAACTCTGAAGTTAGCATACCATAGCTCGTCGTTGTAGGTGTCGTCCACCATCTTAAACCAGATCTGTGTTCGTGGGTGCATCCACAGTGGTCTAGTTCTTTGGCGATGAAAAAAAGCTAGTACAGTTTCATTGAATTCTTTTTTACCTTTTCTTTTTATATTGTGAAGCGCTATTCTACGTACACGGTTATCTCGAAGTTTTGCCAAGCGTAAACGTCTCCGTTTTGTCACATAAAAATACCAAACAAGTGCCGAGTTTGCTGTTTTTACATCCTCCATTTTTTTAAAATGCCCGCGAATTTTACTTTAAGAATTTAGCCGTTGAAGTTTGATTTAAGGGCGCAGTATTTAAGCGGGCCGTATTCAAGAGTAGGGGTGCTATTGCATCTTGATGGCCCGCCAAAATTTGTAGTGTAAACGATGCTGATTTTTCAAGAAAATGGTCCGCGTGCCATTATTTAAGAGTGCCGTGCCAAAAATTAGTGTAGTGCAAACGGGGCGTAATAGGTAATAGCCCGCCAGGGAACACAGCAATAGGAAACACGGTAATAGGTAATGGCCCGCCAGGGTACACAGCAATAGGAAACACGGTAATAGGAAAAAGGAAACACGGTAATAGGAAATAGCGAAATCACGGGCAATAGGACAGGTGTAGTGTTGTTAAATAAAAAGTTAGAAATGGTATTGTACTTACCCATGTATTATAATTATGTTTAGAAGATCAGAATATTCATAAATTCTTATTTTGTTTCATAAATAGTTCTTTAATATTCGAAACAAATTCCATATCTGCTTCGTCTGCCATCGCCATGTTTACTCGTCCCAATCTACATGCTGCACGGCATTGCCGTGTAGTATGTAGATTGGGGCGAGTAAACATGGCGGCGGCCACTGAGCTATACTATATTACTGGAGGAAGTGCTCGGCAAAAAAAGTGTCCGCAAAAACCATAGATATAGGAGACCTAGATTGCTGACTCTAATGTTTTCTACAACGCACGAGCGTGGCACTCATGAGCATTCAAAATGGCGGCTCAACCGGGCAAAAATCATAGAGCGAGATAGGGAAAAAACATGTTTTTCGCATTTTGCGTGGTCCTACAGCTTCCGATCCCGTTCTATCACTTTATTTTGGCAAGAACTAACTGGTGTGAAGGTTTTGGATGAATATTTGTACAATTTAAGTTTAATAAAGACGAAATAATCGATCGCTAAATGTTATCTGAAAATCATCACATAGTCGGTTGAGCAGTTCGAGAAATTTTGTTACAGAAAATAAAGGTTTTGGTTCTGTGGGTGCTTTTTTTCTCGAGGATCTCGGTTGGGATATATAACAGGGAATAATAATTATTGTGAAGTATTTTGAAGTTAAAACCTATTTTACTTAATTTATTTGGTCTGCTGGTGCGAAAATCTTGATGCTCTGTTTAGTGTGACTTTGACAACCTCCTTGCTGCTGCAGATGTCAAGGGATCTCAAGTCTATATGGCCTGGACAGTGAAAAGTGATGAATCAATCAGGTTTGTAGAGAGAACTAGTGACAGCAAAAGTTTTCAATGGAAACTAGTTTGAAGAAACTGACTAATTTGTCTGGTATGCATCAAAAACCTTCACAGTATCTAGTTCTCTCCAAGAAACCTGATTGATTCATCATTGATAATCAAAAATAGATGGGACGGCATCTTCGTTTAGATATTTCTTGGATAAGTTGGAATGGCCTTTTATTTGATTGCTCTCCACAATCAACACTCTCCCCTTCAGGCACTCTCCCCTTGAGACAGCTGACTTAAGCATCAGCACTTTCCCTTGACGAGTAAAATTGTCTGGCGTTAGACAGAGTAAAATAATAAAATAGGGCACAAAACGACTCAATGGGTTTAACTAGACACATGGGCAGATAGGCCAGTTAACCCATTAAGTGCCACTGCTCTCCCCTTGATGAGTAAAATTGTCTGGTGTTAGACAGAGTAAAATAATAAAGTAGGGTGCATTGCAACTCGATGGGTTAATATAATCATCGGGTGTGAAGTGTTTCTCACACAAGACAGGGTTCGTACGGGTCCTGGAAAGTCATGGAATTTCAATATTCCAAAATCCAGGCCTGGAAAATCAAAATTACCTGTTTCAATTTACCAGTCATAACAATAATATGA